GGTGAGTGGTACACGCTAAAGAAGAGGAAGAACCATGAGAAAAACGGCCCAGAACCCGAGAAATGGTACCCCTTCCTTGCCCGTTGATTCGAGCATTGATGCGACTCTCATCGCTGTGCCCTCTTCAACACTACGCTCTCTCAGCTATCTAATCACTCGCCACGTATTGAACTACGGCGAGTGATCAGATGATCGGTGGGCGGAGATCGCCGGACCCGCCAGCTTTGAGGCATGATAGGTCGCCGAGGTCAAATTTTTCCATGCGAATTGCGCGTTCAGTTCGCACCCTGAGCCGTTAGCTTTCGTGTTCTTCGCACCTTCATTTCTAGTTCTGTGAATTTCCCCTTTTTAAGTATAGTGGAGAGACATTGAACACAGAATTTATTTACAGAAAAATTCGAAAAGGGCCACATTCACTCTAGTGTCATTGAATGAATACTTCCATATGAGCAGTGATAGGTACAACAGAGTACGATGAAGTTGAAAAGATTATTGCAACGCGAAAAACTTTCGAAGAAATCCAAACATCAGTTGTTTACTTTGAGGTTATGTACAATTTTCTTTTCTTCTCTTGTTCTTCTCATCTTCTTCTTCGACATCACCCTGAAATGCCCTGGAATTTGCCCGCAGAGAGGAGAGGTTGTCAATGGTGCTGCTGAAATACATTGATTAATGCAGGTTAACAATTTGAAATTAAAAGGATGGAAAACGAAAAAATTAAAGAAAAGAGGCAAGCAAGCTGGGCATCATGTATAATCTCGTGCAGAAAACCGGAACGTAGCATTTTACTTACTACTCAGTCACAAGTGGGGCACCGCTGCCGATCTGTGCATAAGAATCGGCCTTACCAGTGCAAGGGGAGTTAAGAAATTGTTTGACGGATTTGGGAAAAACCCCTATTCCACTTTCCTCCACCATCTGCACATCGAGAAATAGTGCAGCTAAGCTAATTCGGCTTTTGTTAGCAAGTAAACTAACTAAACAAACTGTGGTAATAATATGAACCCGTAATAAAAAATAATAACTCGTTATAAACCCGTGGCTAGTGAGTAATCAACAAAATGTTATGAGCAAAGCATTAGTGCTATCCAAGGTAAGAATAAAAAAATATTCACAATTCTACGCTAAATTTGCTAAGCAGCTCATCTGATAAACTGGTATCAGAATCCTGTGATGGGGAGGGTACTTCCTCACCGCCAATATCATTATTGTTAGCATCTAATGCCTCCTTCAGACGCGCTGAGTCCTCCACTCTCAAGGCCTCCCTAAACCAACCCGTGCAGAAGTGCCTCCGCACGTTCCCCAGTACTTCGACAGCCCTGTTCCTGACATAAAAAATAATATGATGAGAGACTACACGACCCAGACACTAAACGCTTTCCAGAAAACCCTACTGCTCCCAGCCTGTCCGATGGTTTTCCTAGCTTACGGGGCGGTACTTGAGGTAGCCCCAGCAAAGCTCAACAGGGTTGAAAAAACAGTGAAATGGGGGAGCCTTAGTAGCCTCACCCCCATACTCTCGCAAATAGTCTCAGTGGCGTAATGGCGCAAGACTGCTATACTAACGATGAAGGGGTCGAGCTGAATATTGGAGTATCAAAAGCTTACGGGGTATTTTTGAGATAATGACGAACCTCCTCTTGAAGAGAAGCTCTTGTACTATCAAGAGCCACTTAGACGCCATTCGAGGCCAGGTAGTCCATAATATCCTGTCTTGTGGAGCTTCTGGTCGGAATCTGATGAGCACAACTTCGCGTACTGCATTTTGCAAACCTCTATAGAACTTACCCTCTCTAGAGTTCTTGTATGGTAAGGAGGCATTATGGAGCACTAGAGTGAAATTCTGATACAGCTGCGAGCTCCCTCATCAAGGGGATGGACGACTCCAGCCGGTCTTCAAACAATGCAAGACCCACCTCTCAGTGAATACCGTCCTGCGTAGTCCGCTGTTGAAAGACGAGAACGTGGGTGCAACCGGGCATGACTCCAGCTTCATTCAGTGCCGCGATAACGATGACGCGCCTCTCTTTATTCCTTACGGCCGTTTTGCCACAAGAATACTGTTGTATTGCTTGGGCAGAGGGAAAGCGCGACACCGTGTTGTCCATCCATCCTCTCTTCTTCACCATACCCTCAAAAACCCACGTCTCGTCCATATAAACTACGCAGTCCCCTCTTCTGCGGGCCTCGTCGATTCTTCCCAAATACAGTGATCGTTTGTGTATAACATCCGCACGTTCGAAGGTGTAGCGCTGTCTTTCAAGGACCTTGTACGAAAACTCGAGGCCCTTAACCAGTCCTTGGTTACGAACTTACCTTCACATCTCCTTGTATATTCTTTATAGTTAAAAAAGCATTCTTCACATTTATCTCCGGATCAAATGGAGTTTTTTCATACTTATCCTTGATTTTCCTACGTAGGAACAGACTGAAACTTATGAGTTAAGTCCCCTATCACCAAATAATAATCCATGGTTCACCTCAGACTTTCCAAATCTCCAACTTGTATTGTTTGGCAACGTATCACGTGTATTTTCGTTTCATGAAGCTTGTTGTAAGCAATCAAGTTGTTTCGTCCCTTCTCCAAAAAATGGTTTCAAAAAGTATTTGACATCTCCTCCTTAATATAATTAGTTACTTCCAATTAATCTCAAAAATAGTTATAATTTTGATACCTTGAACGCAACACCGTATTTATTCGAGCCAGCTGGTTTGGCCCAACTTAGAGGATTTAAATCCTTTACCACGCCGTATCTAAATATTCTCTAACCTACATAGCTATCATTACTCTCATCAATGATTAAGTTGAAACACTTACTTAACGACTGTCTCCAAAAATTTCTCAACGAGTTCACCAATTGATTGTTTACTAGGATTGGGTATGTTTACTACTCGCACAGTTTTTAACATCACTTGACGGTTTATCATTTCTTGCTGATTTTTTATACGAACCAATTGATTCACATTTTTCGCAATGAAATCCGGGACGCTTAATAACAGATACATTATAACATATACAACTTATGCTCAAGTAACTTACCTTGGGAGATGAATTGCCTTCCATCTCTTACACACGAAATTGGATATACAGATATACAGACGAAAAAATTGCAGTTCAGAACAACAGCAGCACAATGTGTCTAATACGATATGGGCTCCTGAATAGCTATTTATGCTTTATATACATAAACATCTTCTTAGTACCTTGTGCAGGTATGTTGTATATATATATACAACATACGGTGTGCATTATATCGCTGCACAGAGAATATAATACCATTCCAAGTGCTTTGTTATGATAGTTGAGCTTACCCTGATCTTCCACTTATTAGAAAATATCAATCCGTGATAGACGTAACAGATCTCAAACCATCTATTATATGCAAAGAAATACCCTACAAATCATATAATATATTTCCAAACTTGAGCACATTGCTATATCAATCATTACTTCTTACCTTCTTAAAGTAGGTCCAAGTTATGGATATATGACAATTCCCAAACTTGAATAAATTCGGCCTTCCTATATCTGAAATAGCTATATACTTTTATGCAATCATGGGCATACATGTAATTACAGACACTACAAGTATGTACCAATATACTTTGGCGTATAGTACAACTACATGATTTTAGTGCGTTTGAATTTGCAAAAGCACACCTGATTTAGCAACTTCTTGGCAAGTGTATAACTTCTTGGCAATTAACCGAAAATCCACTTATATTCTGAAAATATTAGTAATTAGTTAGCTCAGTTGCAATCATTATGCACGAGCAGTTGTATAATGTACATTGACAATTAACGGCAAGTGGAAACGAACGGAGGTACAACACATTGTATTCACTCAGGAACAGCTACTATATCTAAATAGTATACAAATGTACTAGATACGGTGCAACTTAAGAAGCACATGACACAAATTACTGTGGATAAACACAAGCGAACGTTTGTGAGTCCGCACGTTTGTAGTTTACTCTTGGTACGTTCAACTCATGACAAGAAGTTACATTACACAACAACTGATATACCTTACGTCATAGTGGATTTGCATATAATTAAGGGTTTTCGTAATTTAAGTGATGTTTAGTTCCATTGCACCAGCGCTTCCTTAGTCCACGCTTTAATCAGTAACTGAATTGCGCGCTTGATTGATTTGTTATTTGTTCACTTACACATTTACATGAAATTTACGGCTAACTCATATTTATGGGAACTCAGATGATATTTTCCTTAGTACACCATTATAGACAGGAATCTTGTATGTATCAAATACGCCCTGTCGACTAAGTGCTACGGGACTTTGTAACCAATTTACTATCCCTTCAATAGCAACTACTAGCGTAATCATATTAAGTTTCACGTCTACTGGCAGTAGGGGCCTATGCAGAAACAGCCTATCAGTTCACTTGTTCAGTTCAGCATCCTGCTACGTGACGTCAATTAAATGTACTGGGTTACGTTGCTCAACTTTGTACAGCTCCTACGTTTACAAAGTTTCGGTTTTTTGATATTTTGTTGCTTTCTTTGACTCATAGCAGTTTTAATCAATACTGTTGCTTCTGTTCGAATCAAAAAGAATAGAATTTACTTGAACTTTACTTAAAGTTTTTGTTTACAGGCGAAAATGGTATCGAGGTTGTTCTATCATTATAACCTACAACGTTTTGTGTTACGAATTTTATAACAACACTCAGAATTGCTAACACTTGTACAGCGTTCAACACATTCGTAATTAAGATAAAAGATATGATTAATATCCTTGTAAATAATGAATACAATCACTGTTTTGTAGTCTCCAGTGTAATAAAGTGTATATATAAAAATAAGTTCATTTGTTATAAATATGGGTTAGAAAATAATCTCAAAAAAATTGAGCATTTAATTAATCAATCATTTAACATTGTATAATAATGTCTATTTATTTTCTCTATGAAACTTTCACACTTGTACTACTTACCTAATGTAATCAGTTTATAGGAATCTTTTGCACCCTTATAATAACCTGCTCTAATCATAGGGTATGGTTCACTGAGTATCATATTCATGTATATAAGGTAGCATTATCTACAAACCGGACACTTTGTTCAAAAACACTATCCTAACACTTTCTTTCTTCAAT